ATTTTTTCACATCTTTTTCTTCTAAAAATTTTGTTCTAATTCTTTTCATTTTTCTTCTTGTGTTCACAATATATAGAGTTATTCTTTTCATTTTAGATTTTTCTATAAAAATACTTTGGTAACTTTAAGTCTCTTGCTTCTACCGATGATATATCTTTCTTTTTTATAGATTATTATTATATTATTTTTTTATTAACTTATCGATATTTAGAAATTACATTAGATCTTAACTAATTTGAAACCAAGTTGCGTTAGATCCTATTAAAGAGAAACTCTCCAAGCACCTATTTCTCTATTCACAATATTCGAACTTAAGATCTCATTTAAGGAGAATTGATTTCCTTCCACTCGGACCAATAAATCGTTGATTACAATTATAATATTTTGTAAATCTTTAAGTTGAGTTTAAATCTCGTAAAAGTTTTTATTGACATCGCTCTCTAACTAGTCATGAAACTATTTTATTTTGTATTTTTAAATTTTTATTGCAAAAATTTCAGTAATTATTTTTAATATTTTAAAATTTTATTATATTTTAATTCTTACTTCTCCAACTTGAGATCTTAATTTCTAAATCTCTTATAACCTGTATAACTTCTTTAATTATTTCATTAACACATATGAAATTGTTTATAATTTTTATTCCACCTTTAATAGGATTAAATTCTTCTAAAAAGGTTTTCCCCATTTCTTATATATTTCTTAAGTTATTTTCATTGATGGTCTCTTTTTTTAGAATTCTATCAATAATATTTATATTTTCTATACTAATCTTGCTTTTACCTAGTGTATTGAATAAATACAAGTTACTCTAATTTATTTGTTCATTACCCTTGTTGAGTAGAGTAACTTAATAACTTCTTTTAGTTTACTAATTCTCTCTTTTCTAAATTTGACATGTCAATTGTATAATTGTACACTTTCATCATTTGAGTTTATTCTTTAAGTCTCTTGAACTTTTTATCTTAATTTAGCCAAAATTTTTTTTTAGTGTCAGCTACCATTCACTCTTTAGATTGAGCCAATTGCTCAATTTGATAGCCAATATCTAATAATGTCATCCTATATGTGGCCAACTCATCCACTAGTTCTTTTTTATTTACTAATTTATTCTTTAAAATTTTTAGGACTAAACTATCGTCTTTTTTATTCTTTGATAACTAGTCCTATAACTTTTCAATCTCATTTAAGGGAGACTATGAATTAAATAATTTAAATAAAGATTATGTTTTTCATGTTGGATTGGACAATAAAAGTGTAATACTAGCATTAAAATTACTAAAATATCATTAATAAAATAACATAGAGATGGGTTTCATTAAAATTTTTTTAGTAAGTTCATATGTTAGACTGCATTTTTTTTATATAATCTAACATGAAAAACACTTTTTTTATTTAAATATTTTAAAATATCCAAACTTGACCTAATAGAACTTAGAGCTTTGATATTGGCTTAGGGTTTCTATCTTAAAGAAAGGCAAAATCCTATGTTTAAGCCTTAGACTTTTCTCATTTAAGGAATGTTATCAATACTTTCTCTAACACTTTTATTTAGACACTTTCTCTATGATTAAGACATGTGTGACATGAATATAATATAATTAGTCATAATTTCAATTTAAAAACATTTATTTTAATGTCAATTACTAATCACTAATCATAAAATTTATATTCCACGTGAGCTAATCACATAAAAAAGCTTTAGAGAGTATGCGCCTAGCACTTCTCTTCCCATTTTAGCTTCTACACCCCTCTAAAAAAAGGGTGAATATAAGCCCTCATACTCCCTAATGCAAGTAAATTAGCCCTTAGCTTAACTGACTCTGTTAGTCTTCGTTAATTTAGCTAAGGTGGCTGACGACTGTTTTGATTGCAACTAAAAATATATGGAATAATTTCACTTTAAGTCCATAGTTAGTCAATATTGAAATAAAAATTTTTTTTTTGAACAAGTTGTCAAGAGTAGACTCGAAACCCGTCCATGAGGAAGGAGAAATGTACCTAAAGCTGGTAGGGTGCCAGTTGGCTCGAAGGGTCCAGGTGCCAATATTGAAATAAATTTAATCCTTAAACTTTAAATATTTTTAATCATTACCTAAAGTTTAACTATTTAACAAAGAAACATATCATTGGGACTTGAAAACGTTAAAAATTTTGGTCTTCACCTTCTACTTGTTCAAAATTAAAAAATAGTCTCTTATGTTTGTCAATAAAAAAACCAATCCTAACATATAAGTAACATAATTTACAAAAATTAATTTTTCTTACATAGACATTGATTTGTATGTCTTTCGATTCAATACACTATATAACACACTCAATAAAAACTTATAATTTTTTATCTAAAAATTAAACAAAAATAAATTCAAAAATATAGTCATGTATACAATATGCATGAACTAATTAAATTAACTATATTTATATTATATTTTAGTTATTAAATTAGACAAATGTTGAAAAAATGTACCAAACTAAAGATGTATTAATTATTTTCCTTCCTACATATATAGATAAACAATTTATTGCCCTCAAAAGAATGTAATAAACGTTTTAAGCAACTACTCAAAATCATCAACTGCAAACAAACAATGATTGGTATGGCAATGCACAATCTTAAAGATGCCATTTTCAAAAACCTTGTTTCACTAAATCCTTTAACACCCATTATCTACAACCTCCAGAATCTAGTCCTACATTGAGCAGCTGCAAGAATTATTTCCCACATTGCCACACACCCAACTTGTTGAGAACGAAGAAGTTGATCGAGAATATTGAACTTGTATTCTCAGTTAATGTATTCTGTACAAGATTTGTATTACATAAACATAATTACATATACATGTTTAGATTCTAAAACCATGTCTATAACCATGGAAATAATGTTTGCTATTGACCGTTACCCCAATCCTTCGTTGTAGTAGTGTTCTATGCCTTTTTTCTTTCATCAGCGTGGTGTGCTATATGCTCTTAATTGCTTGAGATAGTTTCCCTTTTTTCTCCAC